TTAACAGTACAACAGAAGTGTTCACAGAGGGGACTTGAAACCACGATCTCCCACTTATGAGCCCAGAGTGCTAACTTCTACTCTACATTAAGCACCCGAGGTAAGAGACGGCAGTTTGTTGGCAGAACCTGGACTTGAACAGGAAGCCTCCTGGTAATAAGCCTTTTACCATATTCTGACCTGTGTCTAGAGGTCAATAAGGCCTCTATTGTTTGTTTATAGGTTCACATGCAATGTATTAATTGATTCAATAAGTAATTAGTGAATGACTGAGTGCCACATTTTCATATGGGGTTGATTTACATCAGTTTGGTATATAAAAGGTGTGCTGCATGGTGGTGCAGTGCTCAGAATTGCTGGAGTGCTGGCAGGTTAATTGGCTTCTGGGAAAAATTGACCCTGGTGTGCATGTGTTCCTTGTGATGTCCAGGGTGTACCCTGCCTTGTACCTGTTGCTTTCAGGGGTAGGCTCTGGCTCCCCTTCGCCCCTCTACAGGGTAAAGCCAGTAGACAATGGATGGATGGTATGTGGAGGGACTTGGTGATGGGTTGTTATAGGGTAGGTCTTTGTGTAGTGGGATCATGGGATGTTGCTGAATAAAATACTGTGCAAGGAGACTTTGCTGTCAATCATGGCAGGTACCTCCACTGTCATAGATACCCTCCATAGCAATGTGATGGACAACCTCCACTGTTCTCCTCTGTGATGCACTCTGCAACTCGCAGTGTAAGAGCTGGGAGGACAGGAATGATCATGGGGGAAAAAAGGGAAGAAACTCTGAAGAGCACAGAATGCAGTTTCTGTGAAATTAACTGTAAAGCTACAACAGCACAATCATTTCTCACCATGGCCTTATTTATTATTCATGGGAGAAAAACATCAAAAGGAAAGTTTAAAAATGAACGAGGCTGGTTTCCCCAAATAGACAACATGAATATTTCAGATATGACGTATTTTCTATCAGTATAAGTCAGAAAGCCTTTCTATTTCCATTCTTCATCCTTGTGACTCCCACTGGTATGGGACTCAATAATTTATGAAAAGCCCAGAGATGATGAGAGAAAAACCCTTCTGTGTTAACTGTGTGCCTATTCTGCCATATAGTGACTCTCCTGGGAGAAAGGACCCTGTGGAATACTGAGCCTCCACTCTGTTCACACTACAGAAGATGAGGGGGGGTAGAAATGGGATGATGCAATACCTGTCGGGTTCTTTCGTAGCAATCTCCAGAGTTTTACTGTGTTTGCAATGCAGTAATTTGATTGAAGTCATTGAGGGGTGGAAGGAACACTGTCAATTAACCAAAAGTAAGAAGGAAAGAAAATTTAAATTGTCACTTAATGTCCTATTGATAAACCTACTGTACCATAATATTGCCACACAGCTGCAACCTGTATCTGACTGGTTGTGCATGTAGGTCAGAAGTTGGTTGCCCTTGAGTATTTTGAGCAGCTCTCTCTTGGGCAAGTACTGTATATTGCAGCCTTTAGTAATTTCATTTCAAATCTGAGTCAGATGAAAATTTCATTTTTCATTTGATTGAAAGCTTGTCTAAAGAAGGCAAAATATGAAGAATTTCCAAGAGTTTGATGGTTTTAGGCGCGGTTATTTTTGGTTTCAGGAACATTATGAAATCTGATGACTGGAGGGCTTCAGGGAACGATTGTAGGATTGCTTTGTTGAAAACCCAGCTAGGGTTAGGGTTAGCATTCCCACAAAACGTCGACCTTTTTTGCGCTCAGTAATGGATTTTGGGTCCCAAGGGGACTTTAGGAAGAGCTGTAATTTGCTCTTATCTGCAACTTTTGTTTAGGACACTTTTGGATGTAGATGTTGAATAATGCACCGTTTTTGTGGTTGTGCTCAAAAACATTTAGATGAAAAGAAAACCTGTTCTAAACTCTCTTCGTTTTTTTATGTAACGTGCAACTACATGTATAACTAGAGAGAACATTTAATGGTTCTTGTAACCCACACCCTATACTAGCCTGAAATGAATTCTCCTTTCAATATCATTTTCTAGCATGTTTGTAGCTAATTGAAAATTTAACTTTAGTTAACACATTCTTGAAGAAGAAGAATTTTGTCAATGGTTTTAGGATCAAATTTTGTTTGGTTTGACGAACCAAATGACTAGAGGGCTTCAGAGACAGATTGCAGGATTCCTTTTGTAACGAATATATTTGAGGGCTTTTTGAAAATTCTTTCCTGTTCTTAAGAACGTCAATGAGATTTCTAATTGGTTATACTCGGTCAGATGGTTAGCTAGCTAAAATATTACCAGTTGGACTTAAGCTGAAGGGGAGACACTGCTTTACAGATACAAAGTCATTTCCACCTTTGTCTGTTCATCTTGAGTTGATCACCTAAAGTGTGATTGATGTTTAGCCAGCAATAAGGGTACAAATTCTTATTAGCAAAATAAAGAGAGGCTGTGTAGAGTTCTGTGCCCTGTTTTTGTTGGAAATAATGCTCTTTATGGTATTTTTTAAACCAAGGACTGAGGGCAGAAAGTCAGATCAGTAATAGGCACCAGTGATTAAGGGTCCACTTGGATCAAAAGTAAGCAGATACAGGGATCCTTCTGCACCAGGACTGACAACTGCTGCTTTAGGGTGACCAATCAAAATCTATCTGTCCTTAAGAATGGTAGGAAACTGAATTGCCCGAATAAAACTGAAGAAAAATTGCAAACACTAGGAGAACATGCGGACTCTGGGCAGATAGAGATACCCAAGACTAGATCTGAGCACAGGAGGTGTGAGCCAGCAGCACTAACCACCACCCTGTTTTATAACCACAACAAAATCACGCAGTAATAGAATTATAATCGCTGCTGTGTGGATAAAAAAAACCCATAAATGTTACAGTTTTGCATTCTATCCATTGGTAATGAAATAATTATGCTTCACAGAAAAGAAATACGCCAACAAGCTTGGATAAACTCTACATTTCATATTACATAGTAGGTGTTTCAGCCTACCAGTGCTTATACATCCTTAAAATAGACTAGAAACACACAAACTGCTTGGCATGCAGTGAGGGGCTGGCAATAAGACCATGTCTGTTGTTCTGCAGGAAGTTACAAGGACCAGAAGTGCTGAAGTCCCTTCCCTGGTTTAGTGTCCTTCTGGGAACACTTTTTCAGGAATTCATTTTTAATGTTTGGTATCTGTTTCACACCTGTGAGGCAAGACTATTTTCCAAAGATCTTTCATCACCAGGTCTTAGCACTGCTTTTCTAAGAGACTAGTCCTGAGAAGAATGGAGATGGGTTGCAAAGGGAATCAAAAATTGAAAGATTGTAATGCCAAAAAGTTTAGATTCAATTTTTTAATTGGTCTTTAGGATAAGTTCTGCTGTT